TTATCAATTTGTCCGCTTCTTCAATTGATGTCACGGGCAGTTGAGATGAATGACTTGAGGGAGTGACATCTTCAGACAATAGAATATCGAGAGTCGAAAATGGATCTTTTTCAATAGCAATTCGATATTTTGGTAAGTCTTCAGGGATAAGATCATTCTGTTGAGGCAATGAAGACGAAGTCGGTTCGAAAGATGGTGCTTCTTCTTGGACTGAGGGAGGGATTAATTGTTCGACAGAGGATGTTGAAGGAGAATCTTGGATGTGAACTGTTGGGATATTTACAGTATAATCTGTATTAAGCAAAGAAGAAAATGAGTTTGTTTAGAAGATGAATGATACTTAATAAAATCCTAATGAAGATAAGGTAAAAGTAGGAAATTAAATAATTTTTTACCAAAAGGGGAAGGTAATTCGATGTGCATTGGTGCGGGGGAAGGGTTTTGTGCTTCCTCGATGTTCTGCTATTTAAAATATAGGTTAGAAAAGGTAATTATGCAAGATAGGTCGAGAAAGTAGGATTTTCTAACTTTACCCCTAAAATTTGTGGCGAAATGGGTGGTTGAACCAATGATTCTATGTTTGTAGACACCATAGCTGATGGATGATCCTGAGAATACGAAATTTTGGAATCATTATATGGCCTTCTCATTTGTATATGTACAATACATATATATAAAAAAAAAAGAGAAAAAAAGAAGGGAAATCTTTACTTACATGACTTGAGTGAGTTTTTGTTGTTGTTTGACATGCTTTACTAATAGTATTGGAGTCCGTTGATAATGGGTTGATGACAGGTTGAGTAGTTCGATGACTCTTTTTGGATTGTTGTTTCTGAAAGTAGTGAGAATTGAATCAGTTATAAAAAAGAAAATTGAAATGATAAAGACGATAGGGATCGAAAAGAAACCTTCAATTTTTTTGAAGATAAGGTAATTGCTGCTGATTGTTTTCTCTTTTGTGTAGGAATAGGTGGGTCCGATTCGTCAAAAGACTCCCAATTTTTCTCTGTGATTGTGACTTTGTGAGGCTTTGAAACTGACAAGAAAGAAAAATAGGATTACATCATAACTAGAGGAAGACTATGAGCATCTTTGAAGAAAGGCAATAAATCTCACCAAAAGGTGATGGAGTTAAAATCTTGACCCGATCAATATGGACAAGCCAATGAGGAAGAAAATGTTGGGGAGTGTTTAGGTAAGGGTAGTATGATAGTTTCGATATCGAAATTTCTTTGTTTTTGGGTTTTGGAGAAATAGTTTCTCTCTAGGGTCTTAACTCTCGAACCCATTTAGGATGGGTTAAGGGTTTGACAATTCCAAAAGGGGCTGTAGGGAAAGTGGGTAGGTGGTTGGGTCAGTATATTTCAAATAGGGTTTTACCTTGAGAGTTTATTATTTTGTGGTTCGATCTATAGGTTTTTGTTTTGTTGGCTAGGGATATAACAACATTGTAAAATGTGTCTTCTAGTTTAAGAGGGTTGTAGCATTCTCGATAAAAGTTTTCAAATCGAGATATTTGAAGATAGTGGAGTATTTACCTTTCTTGGTCTTCGATTTATCCTGCACAATGAAAGAAGGATGCTCAGTCAATTTCGATTGGATTGTATCAAAGTCAGAGTGAATTCTTGAAAACCAATCATTCCACCATTTGGAAAATTCAGGAGTAGATAAGTAATTTGATTCGAAAGCATAAGGGTAAAAATGAAGTGGGCTTTGTGGTAATAATTTGGTAAGTTCTCTTCCCACATTCGATTCATTAAGCCCGAGCCTTGGGGAACTATCGATTTGTAAAAATGGTGAAGTTTGACTTAAACCAAATTGCCTTGAGAAAAGTTGAGGGTAGTAGATGATGAGTTTGATATCTTTTGATTGAAAGCCCGATACCAGAACATCTTGGGTTAAATAATTACTCCATACATCAATTAGTTCTGATTGTAGATCTGGAGTAGAGGATGGAAATCTTGACTTAAACCATGTTGGTCCTCGAAGCTTATCACTTATTTTTCCATGATATGTAATGAAAGGAGCCAAACATGAGTCGAAATAAAATTGAGTCAGTAGGAACATCAGATAAGTTCTATAATTGGCTTCGTTGGAGGATTTTTGCTGAGGATGTCGGGATGATAATCAGACACCTTCTAAATTAAAATTTGGGGGAACTTTGGATGATGTGGGAAGGATACTCTCGAAAATTGAAGTTAGCCATAGTTGGATGAACCATATGGGACCTGAAATTTTTTTTGAGGGTTTTTGAGTATTCAAGATGTCGATTGCCTCATCGAACGCTGTATAGACATGAGCCAACAGGAGTTTTGCCAAGCAAATTCGAGGTTGACCGGTATGAAGAAGGTAAACAATATTATAAAAATGTGATGAAATTTGGATAGATCGAGGGTAGAAAACATGAGTGCAAAACCAATATACCAAAAATGCAATATGCTCTTCATTGAAAACTGCAATTGATTGGTCATCGACAAAATTTTTTTCGATGAAGTGACCATAGGCCTTCGCATCCCAATCGATTCTTGCTTCGAGAAGGTCTTCAGAAGGGAAAATAGTCTTAAAATATTTTTCCCCTGTAGGATTTAACCCAGTAATTGCAGCAATCTCGAAAAGAGTAGGGGAAAGAGGACCACATGGAAGTTCTATAGCATGTAAATCCTTATTCCATAAATGGACTGTAGATAAAAACATAGGCATATCCAAAGATGACAAATCACATCGAGATAAATGTAGAAAGTAAAAAATCCCTATGCCTTTCCAATGGTTTCCAAACTTGGTTTTTACTCTATCAAACCACCTAATATACAAGGGTTTTTTGTGTGGAGGACCGGTTCGATATACTTTTGAGGTAGCATTTAGGAAATCGATTCTTATCTCAATTTTGTGAATAATGGCTTTGCTTTCGGAAGGTAGGCATACATATAGTAGAAGAAGACGATTTAGCAGAATAATGAATAGGACCACCAAATGCATAATCAACATTATCAACTGCATAAGGAATAAGTACCTGTGTTGACTTTTTGTGAAGCTTCTTCTAAGCGTGGGACCGAAACGAACTTTTGGTCATTTCTCTCTATTAAATTTGAAGTCACCGTCGATAATGGCGGGGTTGAGAGGTCAGAAGATTTGGAAGTAGTCATGACAGCTGTGTAAGATTGAAGACGGAGGAGAGTTGACAGATGAGGAATATAAAAGGTTTAGTTTTTAGTGAAGATAATGCAAGTTGATTTGGGTATTTAAAAGGGTCAATTAGGGTAGTTGAAACGACGAACGTGGAAAGAAGTTAAATGGAGACGTGACACAGATTTTTCAGGAAAAGACGTGCTTTTTGGAGAATCAAGTAATATTAATGAGGGGAATGACTTGATTTGACATTTGATAATAAAACAACTTTTTATGGCTTCAAAACATTTAAGAGTTGAAATAAACACTTTTTGAAAGAATACAAAATTTGCACAATGTTTTATTCTTTCAAGGGAGACATTTTGTTGGTGAGAAAAAAATGATATATGAATCAAAAAGTGGATAGAATAAATTTGATGACCATGTTGGGAGTAAAAAATCGATAACATTGAAGTATCGAGTGTCAAGTTAAGATTGAGGGAGATCAGATGTATCATAAAGTTCAAGTATTCGATTTCTGGGATCGAAATTGAAGGAAACAGTTATCTCTGCACATGAGAACATGGGGTAACGGTTTTTAACTATTTTAGGTGGTTATATTAAGTAAGTTATAAATAGAACTAAGCGTGAGAGGTTGAGGGAGATCTTTTTGACTTGAGAAATTTCTGGTACGAGTCTACAAGAGAATAACAACCATCATGAAATTTCTAGCAATTTGGGTTTCCGCTTTCATCGATCTTTTTTACCGCTTTCTATATTTTTTTTGGTAATTTATTCTTATGCAATTTAAAGTTAATTCAATCAGAGTTTCATATAGTCATTTCCTTTTTATTTAATCTTTCTTTAGTTTCTTTTTATGTATTTCCATGTCTCTAAGTTCACACAGTTTTTCATTTTATATCGTTTACTTTTAATTTTACTTTTGTCTATTCTCATTTCTCAAGTTTCTAAATAAAAAATACAAAAAGAACTTTTTGTTTTTAAGTTAATGAATATAATTTACTTATCCATTGTTATTGAACAACCTTTCTTTCAATTAGATATAATCGTCTATTTGAGTAACATTAATATTTGTATGCTTTTAAATTTATTTTCAGTGTTTCGTACTTAAATTTACCACCTCTTATGTTTTTGATTGAAAAACATTGTTTAAAAATTATAATTTTTAAAAATTGAAATAAAACCAAATTTCACCACTTACAACTTTGAATAGATCCACATAACCTTTGTTCTTTCTCAAAACCTGTTATCCGCATTTATTGTTGGCATAATTCATTTTTCTTAGATCTGATGACAATTTAAGGATTGGATATTGTAGTGTTAATTATAAGACATTGGTGCCAACCTAAAACAGAAGTTAATTTGGTTGCACTATTCTTAGTATCACCATTCTGTTTCTGCTACATTGGACGCGTTAGTGTGACAAAGGTTGTGTTTATATAAATAATTTATTTAGCTATTTAATAAATTTTCGTCGTAAAAGAATTTTTGTTATACATTTGGGCATGAAATAAGATTACAAAATATGAACTGTAAATTATTTTTATAATTTTACACAAGTTTATCAAAATTCTTTCGATGTAATAGACATATCAACCACAAATTCTTTTTAATTCAACAATAAATGGCAGCCCTGTAGTGTTTATTGCATAAGTATGAAAAAAAAAAATGTAAATACTAGAACTCAAGTGTAGCTCCCGGTATTTACAGCATCCCGCATTACATATAGATCTCTCTCTCTCTCATTTCGTTTACTAAAATGGTTTACCATCGACAATGGCATCGAAACTCAACGGAAAAAGAAGGAAAAATGAAGTTGGTGGCAGAAACAAAAAGGTGAACCAGCACGCAGTTTGCATATACATGAAGCATGCTCAACAACCCGTGTCCCTATTGGGTGTTTCATTGTATTGTAGAAGAGAAATCTGGCGCTGCAGCTTCATTTGCTGATAGAATTTAGCAATAAACTCCTCGGCTTGCTTATCGATCCCTTGTGCATCTGCTCCTTGTTGTTCCTCTTCTTCACCACAAGCCATCTCTAGTCTTTCATAATCATTATAAAATTCTTGGTCACGGTCTCCTGCATCCATGAGGGCACTCTTTCTCCCCGTATCATATTCAACATCGTCATCGTTGAAATCATATTCAAAATCAACTTGGGGGTTAATACAAGGAATGTGAGGCAAGTGGAAGCGCATGGAGGTTGGACGGTACATCTTGACATGGAAAATAGGGGTCTTGTCGAATGAGAGCTCGCGCTCAAAGTAATGAATATGGCTGGGTGGCGTATTGTTGTGGCCGAGACGCTTCAAGTACTTCGGGACCAGACGCAGCTCCATTGCTACCCTGCGCCTCAACACCCCACCTTTACGTGCCCACAGCAATGACACTCGCAGCAGATTCCATGCTCTATGACCAACGCCACGGTTCTTCAATCCCATGATAGATTTTATGAGCTATCACTAAGTGCCAAGTGTGCTTCAATTAATGTTTTTGAAACACAAACGTTAGAAGGACTGGTATGTGTGTATAGTAGAGTAGCTATTGCAAGTAATACGAAAATTCTTTCTGAATGTGCTGAAGTTAATGATGGAAGAAGATGATGAGTGGTCTTTCCACATATATACGAGAGAGTTTGGGGATTTAGGACGCGTAGCGTGATCAGAGAAAGAGTCAGATAAGTAGTTTTTGTTTTCAGTCTTTACTTTCACAGATCAAATGTGAATGGTGGGCAAACTGCCAACTCGTTAAGGACACGGCTGCACTGTACGCGGTTGGATCAAGCTGGATAGGCTGCATGTTATATAATTTGTTTACTTAATTACTGTAATGCCCTTTACTCGTATAGGTTATCATTGATTTACCAACCCCACCTACCAATCATTGTGTTTAAGTAATTTATTAACATAATATCAAGTTTTTTTAAGGATATGGGTTAAAAAATTTAAAAGATTTGTACATATTTTAATAAATTGTTTCCTTAAACAAAAGTGCTGAGTAGTAGTATTTACCTATTTAAAAAATTAGATTGATATTGTAAAATACTTTAGTGCTCGTTATTAGAGATGTTAACATTTAAAGTTTAACTTATTATGTAATTGTGCCCTTTTCAATGATTTGCTGTGGTTGTTGGGAGCTTTGCAACTTCACGTAACTGATAAAAATGTTTATTAAGGGTCTTTTTGGTCATATCACATATGAATGATAGGTAAGAAAATTCAGAGGGGACCCACAGCCACATGAAATGGAGGCTGCTTCTAGTTGGATTTTACTGGAGAGTACCGTTTACTTTAAAATTGAAGCGACGACAAATTATGAATATCATTACACAATATTTTAGACGCAAAGTTTAGGCACTTTCTGCAAGTAAACGTTTTCTTAGTTAATACAATTTTTACATCTATATCAATTAAAGCTAGCGAGCGGATCCAAAGCCACGCCAACTATTTTTAAAATCTAGGAACTTTCTCTTGCATTGCGCTGCTTCATATTGTTTTCTCTCCAACACTTCTATTAATGCGGCCCATTTAATTATTAAAGAAAGAAAGACAGACTTATGTTTTGTTTTTTTGCGTGTGTAACAAACAGAATTTTAGATGATTTCGTGCTCCTTAAGAATAAAGGGATGACTCATCGGCAATCATGCATATAGCAAATGTTGACATAGAGAAGTCAGCGACAACATTCACATACAGCTCATGAGCTTATTAGAAAATTGTCATATACAGTGGGTAATTTAATTATTGATTACTCTCCCATCAACATCATGCAGTTACAGACACACAGGTACAGGACGTACAAATGGTTCGAAGCTAACAGATTGCCGTGGTTTGAAACTTTCCAGCTAGCCGTTGTTGCCATGGAATGGAAAGAGTGGAGTTGGGGAATGAAACAAAATGTCACAGAAACCAGCATCTACTCAGTGGATCTGCTTCTAGCTGCCATGCACCATCGTGACTATCTCTAAAAATATGGATATTAAAACATGTCTCGATCTACTTACTGGTTTAATCATAACCGGTCGGATAATCGAACGAATAATAAATCATATAAATAGATAAAATCGAATTGGTTAAGAGATTATCCCTTTATTTTTAAAGGATTAAATAATATTATTTTGTTTTATCTTTTTTATTTTTTAGTTTAACATTAAAGACATATAAACCTGAATAGAGAATTTTTATTTTACAAAAGTGTTTCCTGTTATCTTTGATTGTCTTTTTTCAACGTTATTCTTATCGTCAATCAATCGTGGTATATTATTATTATTACTACAATCATTCATAAAAATATAACATGTAAGAATCATAATTTTTTATTTTAAAATTTAATTTGATAAAATAATGTTGGAGATGTCATGTAAAGGAATAATGCTTTTGGAGAGATTTTTAGTACATATTTCATAAAATTAAATTTGAGATTTTCTAAAATTAGGGTTTTTAAAAATTGAGGTTTTCTAAAATTGTGATGGTTTCTAAAATTGTATATTACGAATAAAAATAACATTGATGAGTGAGAAGTGGGTTAAGTGGAGTAAGTCATATTTGAGTTCCATTATCATGTCTTAAAATAAAATAAAATTTATAAAATTTGAAATTAGATGCAATAGAAGATATTATGTAAATTTTCTCCCTTAACTATTTTTAAGTTAGGTGTAATATTTTTCTCTAATTATTTTTAAGTTATTTATAATTTTTTTCTGATTATTTTTAAGTTAAGTGCAATATTAATTTTTTTTCTCTAATTACTTTATACTCAAATTATTTGATGATATGTTGATTATTTATAAATATTATTATTATTATTATATAATACTTTTTTAAATAATATTTATATTAGATTGAAATTATTTATTATGTTATAATAAACTTATTTTAAGTTCAATATATTATTATATTATTAAAATATATTATTTCAGACTTTATTTCAATTGAATATTTGAACCCTAAATATGTATGTTATTAATTTGATGATCCGGTTTTAATAACATAAAAAAATTTAGGTCAATTTATTTTGCTTTAATAATTTAAATATGATTTAGGAATCTATATTTATGATTTTCATTTTACATAAAAATATTCTGATTTGATATATAAAAACAACTTTTTTATGGACAAAAATAACTCTTAAAAACATATATAGCAACATCTATGTTAAGTTACTCTTGAGGTAATCTTTATGTATACACATTAGAAATATCTTTATGTATACATATTAGAGAGATCAAACTAGTGTGTGACGTATGCTTTTTACTGTGTAAGAAAACTTCGTAACGAAGTTTTCCTCATGCACAGTAAATTTTTTTCTTTTATATGTTCGAAGGGGGGATGAATGGTTTCTGCGTGAAATTCTTCCTCCCATATCACATGTTCCTCATTCTTCTTCTTCTATTGTCTAAATTTCAAGCAACGAGACTCTACTCGTGCAGGATCTGGTGAAATAGGAGAGAGCTTGAATTAAGTGAGAAAGCTTAATACCATACCAGGTAAGGAGAAGTTTAATTCATTTAATATATGAAATTGAATTATTGGGTACTCTGCGAATAAGGAATAAAAGTAGAGATATGAATTATTTGAATGTCTAATTTTGAAGAATTTCTGATTCTGATGAACTGTTCACCGTTTGAAAGTTTATGAAATTCTTGAAATTAAGGATGAATTATATAATAAAATTGTTGTTTTTAACTTAATTGAACATGTTTATGGTTTAATTTTGATTTGGAACTAATTTGGGTGATTGAAACTGAGAAATTTGAAACATGGATTTTGAAAATGGCGTACTGGAGGTGATTACTATTCATATTTTGCAAAGTTTTAAATATTGATTAAATTCTTGAAATTAAGGATGAATTATATAGTAAAATTGTTGTTTTCAACTTAAATTAGATATAATTCATGTTAAGTTTCGATTTGGGACTAGTTTGGTTGTCTAAAACTGAGTAATTTGAAATCTGCCAAAATATGTAAAATTCAACACTGTTACTGGGACAAGGAAGAAGAAAGGGATATGGTGGGGAATTTTTAAAAAGATCAAGGGTAAAATAGTCATTTTTCATCCTAGGGACATAAATGTAATTTTTGAAAATGTTCAAGGGAAAAATAGTCATTTTACATCCTAGGGACATAAATGGAATTTTTGAAATTGTTCAAGGGTAAAATAGTCATTTTCAGGACATGGAAGGACTTTTTGAAAATGTCCAAGGGCAAAATAGTCATTTTCAAGACATGGAAGGAATTTTCAAAAATGTCCAAGGTTAAAATAGTCATTTAGGGACATACATGGAATTTTAAGAAAAGATTAAGGGCAAAATAGTAATTTAATGATTTCGAAAATGATTTCGAAAATAGTTTCGGAAATAGTTTCGGAAATGATTTCGGAAATGATTTCGGAAATGATTTTAGAAAAATATATATATAAAGAGAGAGAGAATGAAAGTAGTGTGTTGTGATGTGTGTGGGTCAGACTGAGCCTGAGGGCTGATGCCCAGAATCAGTCCTGAGACGTTATATATTGGCTAGACTGAGCCGGAGGGTTGGTGCCAGAATCAGTCAAATACTATTTTTATTGACCCGAATGAGCCATGAGGACAAGTGGTCCAGAATCCGGCAAATGTGAATAAATGTTGTTATGTTTGAATGGTACCCGGGGTGGTACAAAGTACATTAGTGTAATAACTATGTCGGAGGATTCTGAATGAGGTCCCAGACTTCACTGATTGGTCGGGTCAGGTAGACTACGAGATCAGGTGGTGAGAAGTCGATGGAGGATGACTGGTGGCGCGTAATCGATGTTGTACATCTAGCCCAATCTTCTAGGCCCAAAATTGCTTTAACTGTCCTAAAATTAATAATGAGAAAAAATTAGATCATATAGATTTAAATTAATTAAAATCTAATTATTGTCCCAATGAAGCCCAATTAATAAAAATTCACTAATAATAGAAAGTTAAGCCCAAAACACTAATTAAAATAAGTTCAAAAAGGGAAGAAAATACGGGAATATAATGACTCATCAGCGCGCTCGGAGGGGTACTCCAGTATGAGTGATGAAGGGCACCAGTAATCCTACTCTGTGTGGAGGGTGGTCAGAATGGTACTGCGGGTACAAATCACAATGTGCCCACAGATGATAGCCTCTGAGTTCGGCCATAGTTAGGGTATACTTCCGGAAGGTGTCTTAGTGTGTTAATAATTTTGTAATTGATCATAATATATAATTATTACTTCTATATCTATTTTATTATATCGAATGATTTAATACTTACCCCTATTTTTCCATGTGGATGGGACTGCGATGATCACTTTTATGTGGGAGCAAATCAGGAGTTGAGAGATGGGGGATGTGACTATTGGACAGCAGGGATAGTTCAGTGGGATAGCTTCTAGGGAGCTACTTTTACATGTATAATATATAAATAAATTATGTTACTATATTTTGAAGTTCTGTTAGTGAACTGGAATTTCAATATATGTTACAATTACGAGTAATATAATGTAAAATAGATGTTGTTATTTACTTGTTTACTACTTTGCGAAGACATCATTATAGTAGCGATTTCTAGGGTCGTTACAATAGTGTTATCAGAGCAGTAGTATCCTTGTAAATCTGTGGGGATGGGTAGTGACCCTATGATAAGTCCGTTGTGATTATACTCTGATATGTGAGTGTGTGTGAATGTTTGCTCTGTATTGATGGTTGCATTTGATATAGGATGGCACCGCGACCTCCTACTCTTACTCCTACTCCATCGAGTGTAGATGCCCTAGCTAGGGCAATGGAAATGTTGGCAGCTGCCATGCAGCAGCAGGCTACCTACCCGCAGTGGAGGCCAACTATGGCATCATCCTCTGCTGGATTTCACCAATCAAAGCAGATGAGACTGACTGAGTTCATGAGGCATAATCCGCCTCGTTTTGGAGGAGATTTGGGTCCAGATGCAGCAGAGAAGTGGTTGCGTGAAGTGGAGAAGATTTTTGAGGCTACCTTATGCCCGGAAGACAGGAAATTGACATTTGGAAAATACTTACTAGTGGATGAGGCTGAGTTCTGGTGGTCAGGGACTCAAAGGATGATGATTGCACGTGGGGAGGTGTGTAATTGAGAAACCTTCCGTGAGAGGTTTTTGGAGAAATACTTCCCGACGAGTGTTAGATTTCGGAAGGAGATCGAGTTCCCGAGTCCGAGACGAGTGTAATACGACGGTGCATGATTAGGCCGTACGATTTGAGCACTTATCTCGTTTCTACACAGGTACATCTTCAGAACAGTGGCTTTGTAGGAAGTTTAAGGAAGGCTTGAGGGCTGAGATCAAGCTCATGGTGATTCCTTTCTCTATCAGGAGATTCCCAGAGCTGGTGGAGAAAGCGAAGACAATAGAGAGACTCCAGGAGGGAGGAGTCAGAGTGATGAGGACCCACCCAAGTGGGGTCCCAAGTGGGAGTAGTAGATCAGAGAGGAGGATGCCTTATTCACGCCCCCAGTCCTCCAGGAGTGGCAGTGTTATCCCAGCACCTTGATCATCAAGATCTGTATCCGGGGTAAAATGTTTTCAATGTGGAGGCCCTCATTACAGGAATCAGTGCCCACAGAATGCCTTCACTAATCCTTCCCAGACTTCTTGGGCAGGTCTTTGCTACACTTGCCAGAAGCCAGGACATATGGCTAGAGACTCGTCCACAGAAGCCCAATGCTATAGTCTCAGCTGGGGCATCATTAGCACCCAGGGGGAGTGACGCGAAACCCAGAGCTGCAGGACGGGTGTTTGCCTTGTCAGGAGCAGAGGCATCGAGGTTAGAGAATTTAGTGCAAGGTGTGTGTTTTATCTCTGATATACCTCTACAAGTTTTGTTTGATTCAGGTGCTACCCATTCTTTTATTGCTAATAATTGTATGGATAAACTTAACTTACTTGTGTGTGACCTACCCTATGAATTAAGGGTATCTACACCAACAA